GCGACTGTCTAGGAAGGAGTCCTGCAGAAAGGGATCCAGGGGTCAGAGTGGATCACAAGCTAAACAGGAGTCAACAGTGTGATGCTGTTGCAAAAAAAGCCAACATGATTCTGGGCTGCATTCACAGGAGGGTTGTGAGCAAGACGTGAGAAGTCATTCTGCCGCTGTACTCTGCAGCTGATTAGGCCTCAGTTGGACTGTTGTGTCCAGTTCTGGGCAGCACATTTCAGGAAAGATGTGGAGAAACTGGAGTAGGTCCAGAAAAGAGCAACAAGAATGATAAAAGGCCTAGAGAACTTGAGCTAGAAGGAAAGACTGGAAGAATTGGGCTTGTTTAGTGTAGAAAGACCCAGAGGAGACGTGAGAGCGGTTTTCAGGTATCTAACAGGGTATCACAAGGAGTTGGGAGAAAAATTGCTCCCCTTGGCCTCTAAGGATAGGACAAGAAGCAATGATTCGGGGCTGCATTCACAGGAGTGTGGTGAGCAAGACATGAGAAGTCATTCTGCCGCTCTACGCTGCGCTGATTAGGCCTCAGTTGGAGGGTTGTGTCCAGTTCTGGGCACCGCATTTCAAGAAAGATGGGTTAGATGGACGTCTATCAGGGATGACCTAGATGGCACTGGGCCATGCCATGAGGGCAGGGGACTGGACTCGATGACCTCTTGAGGTCCCTTCCAGTTCTAGTGTTCTAGGATCCTAAGATTCGGCGCAAGATGTCACCTGTTTACACCTACATCTAAAGATGTATTTCAGAGGCCAGGTCATCTTCTGACGGAGGGAAGACACAAAGACCCACCGTTCATTGATCCAGTCCATTGTTATGGGGAGACTCATGTGAGTCTACCTAGAACCACTGAACGAGGCAGGAGAACCATGCCTCGTGGGCCATGAACCCAACCGAGGGTCCGCGCCGCAAACCGAATCAATGGATTTATTCGGCAACTCGGTCGGAGACAACCAAAGGGACTGTCTGGTCAAAGCCTCCGTCAACCCATTAACTCCATAGATTCCCTTGTGCCCCTCACCTCCCCCTCTGTGCGGCGGCTCTGTATCGGAATCCATTGTAGAGTTTCCCACTACTGTAGCTAACCAACGCCAACCCCTTCGCACAGAAGCCACCCCAGACGTGGGAATGAGGCTGGGATGTTTTCTGCTTTCTTGGCGGGTAGCGAAGCAGGTTTGGTTTGGGTCAATCGGCCGTGACGCTCGAAAGGCCCTTTTTCCTGAACCCTGGTTGTGCAAAGAGGAGGAGAACCGACCACGTGTGAGGCCCAGAAAGACACACAGCTACATGTGTCCCAAAGAGAAGAAGTCAGGGTCACAGCTCAAGCGCTGGCTGGACCCCAGGAAATCCACACCAGATTCTAGTCTCTTTCGTAGACACCCATTGGGACCTTCCGCAAGTCAATCAAGATGGAGAGTTTCACCAATCCGGTGGGAATTCTGTGCCCAATGCTGCTGTGAGATGAGGGAGACCGGCTCCCTTACCCGGAAAGGCTCCGTGCCTCAGTTTCCCCTCACACAACGGGACAGAACCTCCTTACTGTGTTGGTGAGTTGGTGAACTCTGAAAGACAGGGTGTGTCCCGCCCTCCATCTGAGCAGCACCCGGCCCAGGGGCAACTCCCTGGCTTGTGTCGCAAGGCAGGAGGTCCTAGGCGGGCGAGAACATCCCATCCACGCTGGGATGGCTGGGTTGAATTCTTGGCTGGCAGAATCGACACAACCCCTGTGACTCCAATGAAGTTACTCCTGTTTGACACCAAGTGCGTGGATGGGAAGGGACACAACTGTAGGGAATCCCATGGGGTTCCCCTGGAATCAGGGCAGAAGGAGGAAGAGCAGAATCCGGTCCCTGTTGAAGCGGGGGATCAGGTCCTTTCTGCCCTATGGCGCTACGGCTATTCATACCGCCTGAGGGCCGGCTCCCAGGGGCCTATGTGTGTGATCTCAAATGGTGCCCACCCTCCGTTAATTGGAGGCTCTGCTGCGGTCTCAGACCGGGAGCCAGGAGGAGACCCAAGGCCCTGGTCCCATGGGGCCAGACGGGCTATAAAGACCAAGGAGAGCCGCAGGGAGGCTGGAAGTGCTGAGAAAGCCATGGGGCGGGCAGCAGCATGGGGCAATATGCTTCCAGCAGCCCTTGTTCAGGTCAGCGGGCATTAGGGCTCCTTGCAAGCACCCAGGCTGTGCCCCTGTCCCGGCCGAGGGGCCACAGGGATGAGACAGATGGAAGACGCTAGAGCCACCGCCGAGAGATAGTTAGGGAGAATTGCCGTCAGCTGGAAGGACCACTCCCGATGCAGCCAGTGTAAGGTTTCTGCTTTGGAAAAGATCTTCCATCTCTCTCCCTCTGTCTCTGCCTGTCTCTGAACCGGTCACTGTCCACATCGCACCTGGGGGAAATATTGTCCCTGGAGCAAAATCGGTCCCTCCGTCCTCCCATGTGCGGCACCCGCCAGCCCATCTCTGCCTCATTCACCTCCCTCTCCCCGTAGCCCCGACCTTCCAGCGTCTCCCCTTGGCTCTTCGTTTCCTGCTTAGGGACACTTCCCGGCAAACAGCCAACCCTTCCGCACTGGCCCACAGGTCTCACCGTAACCCTTCTCTGGCATGAAATCAGACAAACCCCGCCAGCCCCCAACTTCCAGCTCTTCCAGCTGTGCCTGTTTCCTTTCCCGTTCGCGCCTCTTCCTTCCTTCTCGGACCCCATAACGCCCCCTCCCCAACCGGCCCCCTCACTAACAGAGCTGGGACCATTCTCCATCACATTCACTGGTCTGCCTCTTCCATCCTCCTCCTCTTCCTGAGGGCAAACACAGAGCAGGCTGGGCACGCAGAACAACCCCCAGGCGAAACAGGGCGCTGCCCTGCCCATATGGGCACACCTGGCAGAGAGCATGTGTGAGCATGATCCATAGAATCATAGCGCACTAGACTTGGTAGGAAGATCAAGGGGTGATAAGTCCAGTCCCCTGCCTTCACGGCAGGACCTAGCATCGTCTAGATCAGTGTTTCTCAACCAATGGTATGACTACCCTTAGGGGTAGTCAAGAGGAGTCTGGGGGGTACATCAATGCAACCGAAATTTGGAGAAAACTGAATTTTTCTTTTACGTCTTGTAGCACTTTATTATATTGGTAGTCTTTGCACCCCAAAATGTCATCCCCTGCCCAGCTATGATTAAGTTATTTAAACAAACGTGTTGCAACAGTAGAAAAAGTGTGTATCTGAAAATTGTACGTACTAGGGGTACTGATAATTGTTTTTTTTAAAGAGGGTGTGACGTAGTGGGGGGTACCTTGCTCGTTGCTATGCTGGGGCTGTGGGTGACCCCCGCTGGCTGCTGTTTGTAGCACGGCTCAGCAGACATGGGATGAGTCACTAGGCAAGGGTGTGACGTAGTGGGGGGTACCTTGCTCGTTGCTATGCTGGGGCTGTGGGTGACCCCCGCTGGCTGCTGTTTGTAGCACGGCTCAGCAGACATGGGATGAGTCACTAGGCAAGGGTGTGACGTAGTGGGGGGTACCTTGCTCGTTGCTATGCTGGGGCTGTGGGTGACCCCCGCTGGCTGCTGTTTGTAGCACGGCTCAGCAGACATGGGATGAGTCACTAGGCAAGGGTGTGACGTAGTGGGGGGTACCTTGCTCGTTGCTATGCTGGGGCTGTGGGTGACCCCCGCTGGCTGCTGTTTGTAGCACGGCTCAGCAGACATGGGATGAGTCACTAGGCAAGGGTGTGACGTAGTGGGGGGTACCTTGCTCGTTGCTATGCTGGGGCTGTGGGTGACCCCCGCTGGCTGCTGTTTGTAGCACGGCTCAGCAGACATGGGATGAGTCACTAGGCAAGGGTGTGACGTAGTGGGGGTACTTGCTGGGCTGTGGTGACCCCTGCTGTCTGGAGCAAGACCCAGCAGGGAAAGCCTCACTAGGCAGAGGTGATGCCAAACTTGTTGAACCAGTGGCCAGCCACCCCCCCTGGAGAGGAACAAAGGGAGGAGGAATGCTGCCCCTGGCTGGGGGGCAGGGCTGGAAGAGTTTTAGTTTCTGTCTGGGAAGCAGGGGAGAAGGAGCTAGGGAGGGGGCTGGGCTTGTAGGGGCCAGCAACACCCCATCTCAAGGGGGGCACTGAGGCCTCTTAGCCCCAGTTCCTGTAACCAGATTACATCTGTGCTGTGCTGTATCCTGGAGAAGCAATAAACTCCCTCTGTTCTACCGACTGGAGGAGTCTGTCCGTGCCATTACAGGGATGCAGGAGACGGGCTACCCCAACGCGCCGTCACAGGGAGTACTTGCAATATTTTTTAAGAAACACGTATTTTATTAAAAAAAAAAGTTTGAAAATCACTGATCTAGACCATCCCGGACAGGTGTGTCTCTAACCTGAACTTACATGTCTCCAGGAACGGAGATTCTGCAACCCCCCTCAGCATCTTATTCCCGTTTTTCACCTCCCGGAGGGGTAGGAAATTTTTCCTAGTGTGCAACCTCAACCTCTCTTGCTGCAGTTTAAGCCCATTGCTTCTTGTCCTGTCCTCAGAGGCCAGGAAGAACAATTTAGCTCCCTTCTCCTTGTGACACCTTTCTCAGTACTTGAAAATAACTAGGACTGAGAAATATTAGACACAAATGGCAGGCTTGAAGGTACTTGGGTTAGAATTGGGGGGTACGGGCCAAGAGAGGATAGAAAAGAGGCAATTGGCATGGGTCAAAGATATAGACTAGACTAGACTAGACTAGACTAGATGTCCTCTTTTTCCATTTGCATTGTGGGCCCTTCAAGAGACACCATTCCTTGTCCCATGCTCAAATGTAGCTCGGTGATGCCTTCGCCCCAAATGGCATGACCATGACAAAACGATATACCACAGCTAAAAGAGATTCGTTGGGACAGTGGATGGAAGGGTGTGATTTACCATTAGGGGACAAAAAGGCTTTTTAAATTATTTCAATGATTTTCTGTCCTTATTTCTCGCCTCCACCCAGGAACGAGTCCAAAATGGACCTCGGCAACCGCACGACAGTGACTCATTTCATCCTCCTAGGGATCCCCAAAACCGAGGGTCTCCAGACCATCCTCTTCTTCACCTTCTTAGCCTTCTACCTCTGCACCCTGCTGGGCAACGGGGTCATCTTCTCCGCCGTCCTCGGCGACCCCCGGCTGCACACCCCCATGTACTTCTTCCTCTGCAACCTCGCCATTCTGGACGTTGGCATCTCTTCCGTCAGCTCCCCGAAATTGCTGGCCATCCTCTGGGGAAAGAACAAAGTCATCTCCCTAGCGGGGTGCGTGTCCCAAGTCTTCTGCTGGCACTTCCTGGGCAGCACCGAGTGCCTGCTGTACACCATCATGGCTTATGACCGCTACGTGGCCATCTGCCACCCGCTGCGCTACCTGCTCATCATGAACCGCAAGGTGTGCGCCCTCCTGGCTGCCGGTGCCTGGATCGCCAGCGCCTTCCACTCCGCCATCCTCTCCAGCCTGACCTTCACGCTGCCCTACTGCCGGTCCAACGTGATAGACTATTTCCTCTGTGACATCTTCCCCGTGGTCAAGCTGGCCTGCGCGGACACTCGCATCATTGAGAGTGTGGCCTTCACCAACATCGGTCTGGTGCCCTTGACCTGCTTCCTCATCGTGCTCATGTCCTACGTCCGCATCGTGTACTCCGTCCTCAAGATGAACTCGGCCAGCGCCTGGCGCAAAGCGACCTCCACTTGCACGTCCCACCTGGCGATGGTGACACTTTTCTTTGGACCCTGCGCCCTGATCTACACCCAGCCCCACCTGAGCCATGTGCTGGGACCACCCGTTCAGCTCTTCAGCAACACAGTGACGCCCATGCTGAACCCGGCCATCTACACGCTGCGCAACAAGGAGGTGAAAGCTGCGCTGAGAAAACTGTGGGGGGACGTCACGCCGGCACGTTGGCGTTTAACGTAACGAAATTGGATGTGGATAAATGTAAAGGGATGCACATTGGAAAACATAATCCCAACTCTATGTACGATATGATGGGGACTAATTTAGCTACAACTGCTCAAGAGAGAGATCTTGGCGTCATTATGGATATTTCTCTGGAAAGATCCACTCACCGTGCAATGACAGTCAAAAAAACAAACTACATTTTAGGAATCATTAATAAAAGTATAGTGAATAAGATGGAGAACATCTTATCGCCTCTCTATAAATCCATGGGATACCCACATCTTGAATACTGCATCCAGATGTGGTCACCTCATCTCAAAAAAGATCTCTTGCCATTGGACAAGGTTCAGAAAAGGGCATAAAAAATGAGGAAGGGCTTGGAATGAGTCCCCTATGAAGAGACATTAAAAAGACTTGGACTTTTCAGCTTGCACAGAAGGAGACAAAGGAGGGGGTGGGTAGGATAGTGGTCAATAAAATCATGACTGATGTGGAAAAAGTGAATAACGAAAAGTTATTTACTTATTCCCACAATATAAGAACTAGGGGTCACCAAATGAAATCAGTAGGCAGCAGGTTTAAAACAAACCAAAGGAAGCTTTTCTTTACTCAGTGCCCAGTCAATCTGTGGAACTCCTTGCCAGAGGATGCGGTGAAGGCCAGGACATTAACAGGGTTCAAAAAAGAGCTAGATAGATTCATGGAGGTCCGTCAATGGCTATCAGCCACGATGGGTAAGAATGGTGTCCCTAGCCTAGTGGACTTTTGTCAACAAAACTAGACCTGCGTCTACACTGCCGCCGAGTTCTGTCAACATAACGTTGGTGGAACTCGGCAGTTTTGTCGACGGCAGTAAACCTCATTCTACGAGGAATAACGCCTTTTGTCAACAGGCTTGCTTTGTCGACAGAACTGGCTGCAGTCTAGACGCTCTTTGTCGACAGAAGCTTTGTTGACAGTATCTGTCGACAAAACTTCTGTCGACAAAAGCCTGTCGTCTAGCCAGACCCTCAGTCTCCACACCTTCCTGTGTTGCATCATAGGTGTAACCCGTGCACCTCCTGCCAGCCGTGTTCTGTGTTCTATCCCGCTCAGCAGCAGGTGAGACCACTCCCAGCCCCGAAGGTACAGGAGTCTGCTCCACAGCCTTTCTGATCTTCTGTGCGTCTTTTGGCACCTGCCATAGAGGCCCACTCCTTTTGCCACCGTTTTGATCCCACCCTGGAACAGCCCAGGGGAGTACGCCATCCAACGCTCTCCTTTCGGCCAGGTGGAGCCAGCAGGAACCAGGGCGAGGTTGAATATCCAGAGATAGCAGGTTTAAAACTAATAAGCCAAAGTTCTTCTTCACACAGCATGTAGTCTACCTGTGGAACTCCTTGCCAGAGGAGGCTGTGAAGGCTAGAACTATAACAGAGTTTAAAGAGAATCTAGCTAAATTCATGGAGGTTAGGTCCATAACAGGCTATTAGCCAGGGGGTAGGAATGGTGTCCCTGGCTTCTGTTTGTCAGAGGCTGGAGATGGATGGCAGGAGACAAATCGCTTGATCATTGTCTTCGGTCCATCCCCTCTGGGACACCTGGCAATGGCCTCTGTCGGCAGACAGGATACTGGACTAGATGGACCTTTGGTCTGACCCAGTACTGCCGTTCTTATGTTCTTATGGTTCCTTTCCATGGGTGAACACAGAACCAGCTGGCGACGCCACCTTGTGACCTGGGCCAATTTCACAGCACACTTGTGTTGCCTCCCAAATTAGTGCTTCCCCAGAGTGTGAGTGTAGAGACATCTGGATAAAGGGAGGGAGGCACGTTGGTTTTAACCCGAGGAAACATGGCAAACAGGGTTCCTCAACTCAACCCGTGAGCAAAAGGCCCACCCAAGTCGCTTGGGCGAGGTCCTTTTTCCCTCCGGGTCCTCACCAGTAGGTGCATCCCTTTCAGGATTGCTGTCTTTGGCCAGGGCAGAGCCAAGGTTCAGAGGGGCTTCTGCAGAGTTCATCCTCCACCAACTCACTCGCTGCATTGGCCGCTCACTGGCCACTGCTCACCACACCGGCCAGCCAGCTGGCCACTCATTGCACCTTTCCACCAGCCGGCTCTGCCTCCCACACCCACTCAACCCTGGACTTTGCCAGGAAGGCTCTTCATGGTTTGTAGCTCTGGGCAGAAACACTGTCCCACCACCAAAGAGTTCGACTTGCTCTCATTCCTTCAGGCAGCGGGAACGCACCCCTGCAGCCGGGGATCTATCAGCATTCACGGGGGTGCTGTGAGCAAGACACAAGAAGTCGTTCTTCCGCTCTACTCTGCACTGATTAGGCCTCAGCTGGAGTCTTGTGTTCAGTTCTGGGCCCTACATTTCAAGAAAAATGGGGAGACATTGGAGAAGGTGCAGAGAAGAGCAACAAGAATGTTGAAAGGTCAAGAGAACATGAGCTAGGAGGAAAGGCTGCAAGAATTGGGTTTGTTTAGTTTGGAAAGGAGAAGACAGAGAGGCGAAATGATAGCGGTTTTCAGGTATCTAAAGGGTGTCACAAGGAGGAGGGAGAAATATTATTCTCCTTAACGTCTGAGAATAAGACAAGAAGCAATGGGCTTAAGTTGCAGCAAGAGAGGTTGAGGTTGGACATCAAGAAAAACTTCCCACCTGTCAGGGTGGTGAAACACTGCAATAAATTGCCTAGGGTGGTTGTGGAATCTCCATCACTGGAGATATTTAAGAGCAGGTTGGACAGACACCTGCCAGGGATGGTCTAGACCAGTGGTCCCCACCCTTTCGTGGCTGCCGGGTGCCCGGGGGCGGGGCTACTCATGCACTGTGCTTCGGGGGCGGGGCTACGTATGCGCCGCATGCCGGGGGGCAGGGCCACCCACACACCACACGCCCGGGGCGAGCACTGTGCACATGCTGCGCGCCCGGGGTAGGGGCCCCCCACGTGCCCTGCACCTGAAGCTGGCACTGCGCATGTGCTGCGCGCCCGGGACAGAGGCCGCCTATGCGCCACACGCCCAGGGCAGGGGCCGCCCACGTGCCCGGAGCTGGCACCACGCATGTTCTGCGTGCCAGGGACACGGCCAGCCCAATGTTTCAGCGGGCGCACATAAATGCCCCGGCGGGCGCCATGGCACCCACGGGCACTGCGTTGGGGACCACTGGTCTAGACGGTGCAGGGTCCTGCTGCGAGGGCAGGGGACTGGACTCAATGACCTCTTGACTCTCAATGACCTCTTCCAGTTCTAGTGTTTTATGATTCTAGCTCCCTGCGAGGTTTACCAGAGCAATCGATAAAGGGTTCTTTTGTCGACCGCACCACGTCTAGACTACCGCGCTGTGTCGGATCAGCTGATCGTCGGCACAGCGCGGCGGCCCTTTTAATTTAAACAAAGTGGGGATTATTTAAATCCCCGCGTCTTTGACTATGCCGAGTAAACTACTTTACATCCTCCGTCGACGGAGCCATGTCGTCTAGACGCACCCCTGTATGCATTGCTCTGTAGAGCTCGCTGACTAATAAATTAGACTATCTCTAATCGGCTCTGTGTTGAAGCAAATCCAGAATCTTGTTCATCTGTGGCCCTGGGAGTTGACCACAGGAATCGATACAGCTCCTCCAATTCCACGGCAGGGACACCTGATTGACGTAGCTGGGAAGGAGCTCCCCAGAAAACAGGACAGGAGGCCCGAGAGCAGAATCCAGACCCTGGTGGAGCTGGGGATCGGGCCCGTTCTGTTCCATGGCAATACTCGTGTTTATGAGGCCCATGGGTCCATGAGTTTATCTGACATAATTCCCAAGCTCTGTTAATTGGCAACTCTGTCAACATCTCAGACCTGGTGTGATTCCAGGCCCTGGTCCCAGAGGGCCCAAAGGGGATATAAAGCCAGTGAGAGCTGTAAGGAGCTGGAAGTGGTGGGAAAGCTGTAAGGCGGGCAGCAGCGGGGGACGATGTACCGTGGGGAGCCCTTCTTCGCTTTGGCGTGGGATAGGGCACCCGGATGACTACCAAATGCCCAGGCTGTGCCCTTGTCCTGGCCGATGGGCCATTGGGCTGAGACAGCCGGAAGACGCTAGACAGGAATCCTAGGAAAGGAGAATTCCCGTCAGCTGGACGGACCACTCCCGATGCAGCCGCTGTAAGTCTCCTGCTTTGGGAAAGATCTTCTCTCTCTCCCTCCGGCTGACTCGGAGTCTGTCACCATCTCATGCTGAGGGAGGCATCAGCTAAATGTTTTCTTCAGAGGGAATTTGATCTAGCTGTCCGTCCGTCCGTCCATCCATCCACCCATCCATCCATCCATCCATCCATCCATCCCTGGGCTTCCTGCCTCTGTTTCATGGATCTCCCCCTCCCCATCTGTCCTGACCCCAACCTGACCATGCCTCCCCATCAGCCCTGCCTTGTGAACCCCGCCAGCAAAACACAACTGGGTGCTTCCCTATGGTCCTTCCGATCTCACCCTCTGTCACACGACCGGACCCAGCCTGCTGATCCCGGCCGAGCAATGACCCACTGCAGCCAAGGAGACCAGAACTATGTGTGCTGTGGGGGTGCTGATAAACACTGGGACAAACAGTGCACTGTTGGGGAAACCTCACTCCCCTGGGATACAGAGTCCCCAGAAGGGTCCGAGGCTGGAGGTCAAAGCAGTGAGGCAGGAGAGAAACCTAGAAGGAAAAGTTTATTCGGCAGGCAGACAGGCTGACAGCTACCAGAGTGAGAGCAGCAGCAGCCCCGAGAGACAGGTTCAGGGACCCTTTATACAGTATGCTCAGACAGTTTAGTTGTTGATCATTTTCTTTAACATAGCAAAGTCTCAGCAGAAGTACTCGGAGATGTTTCTGTTCACACCAGGAGTGCTAGAAGTCAGTTTTACAGAACAAAGCCACATGAGAACATGAGTGACAAAGCAAACTGTGACAAAGATAAGAGTTTACATGACAATTTGTGACAGACTAGGCGTCACCATGAAGTCGAGATAGGAGGCATTGGAAGGGTCTTGATTAGAGTTAAGATGATTTTTCTCTGTTACAGGGAGAGGGGTCTGGAAAACTTTTAACCCTGACAGCAGTTTTCTGTTAGAGAGTTTTGATTTCCTGCACAGTCCCCCCCTTAGACACAATTAGAATTATTTGATTTTTCTCCCACATCACCAGGGGATGGTCCATTGAATGCATTGATACTACCAGTATTTTGTCTCTGGGGAACTGGCTGGTGGCAGCTCCCCAGATGTGGCATATGTCTGAGTAACACTGGCCAGTCAAATCTTTTTCACTTTATCAGCTATACTTATTTGCCAGGACAATAATGATCAGCTGATTATGAGTTTTCTAATGGAATTATTTGATTTTTCTCCCACAGCACCCTGGCTACGATGTAAATCACGTCAAGTCAGGCAGTACGGCCGCTTCCCTAGCGCCCCTCGTTCCAGCCTCAGGGACTATATCGATTTCCTTTCTCTTCCTTCCTTTTCCTTCTCTAGCCTCAGCAAATACCCCTCACACCATTAACCAAGTTGGGGCAGCTCTTCGCCACGTGCTTTGCACGTCCCATCCTCCCCCTCTTCCTTCTCATGACCACGGTGCAGCCCGAGTAGTTATAACAACAAAACCCGACCAAAACTCCATGCCAAAACACACGGCCTCTACGGAGAGGGTGAGCGTGAGAGAAAAAGAACAAATCACAGCTGGGAAATGCTACTCACAAATGGAAGGCTCTATGGCAGGGCTGGGGGAACCTTTTTTGGGTCAGAGGCTGCTGACCCACAGAAAAATCAGTCGGGGGCCACACACAAGTGAGATGAAAAACCCTCTCTGATGTGGAGCCCGAACAGAGGAGACTGACCATCCCCACATTCTCCACACACCAGATTATGGGGGGGCCACCCTGGTAGTTTTCGTGTGCTCCAGCCGCATGGTGGGGCAGCAGGGAGGCTGGAGCAGCAGCATAGGTTCCCCAATAGCAGAGGGATGCCCCGAGCTTTGAGGGGCCAGATCTAGGCAAGTTGGGGGCCGCCCCCAGCCCTGAGATTCCACACCCCTGCTCTCTGGTACTTTGGTTAGGATTGGGGATAAGGATAAAAACAAAAGTAAAGAAATTAGAATAGAATAGAATAGAATAGAATAGAATAGAATACCCCTTCGTTTGCTCCTCTTTCTACCGTAGGACGGTCAAGGCATTCCATGCTTAGCACCAGCCCGGTGCAGCGCTCACCCCAAATGGCATGACACTGCCAGACCATGCCCAATGAAAGTGAGTCATGGGGGTGGTAGGAGGAAGGGGGAATCTTGCAAGCAATAGGACGACAGGTCTTTTCGTTTCAGTAACTCACCGGCCTTCTTTCTCTCCCCTGCCCCAGAAATGAGACCCACATGGGTCTGGGGAACAGCACGGCGGTGACTCATTTCATCCTCTCCGAGCTCCCCAACACCGAGGGTCTCCAGACTCTCCTCTTCATCACCTTCTTAGTCTTCTACCTCTGCACCCTGCTGGGCAACCTGCTCATCTTCTTTGCCATCCTCACCGATCCCCGCCTGCACACCCCCATGTACTTCTTTCTCTCCAACCTCGCTGTGCTAGACATCGGTTTTTCCTCCATCAGCACCCCCAAAACATTGGCCAACCTCTGGAGTCAACGCAAGGTCATCTCTCTGGGCGAGTGCATGTCCCAAGTCTTTTTCTTCCACTTCCTGGGCTGTACTGAGTCTTTGCTCTACACTGTCATGGCCTACGACCGGTACGTGGCCATCTGCCACCCACTGCGCTACCTGCTCATCATGAACCGCAGGGTGTGTACCCTCCTGGCTGCCGGCGCCTGGATTGCCAGCTCCTTCAATGCCACCATCCTCACCAGCCTGACCTTCACACTACCCTACTGTGAGTCCAATGTGGTGGACTATTTCTTCTGCGACATCTTCCCTTTAGTCAAGCTGGCCTGTGCAGACACGCACATCGTTGAGACTGTGACCGTGACCAGTGTGGGTTTGGTGCCCTCGACTTGCTTCCTCCTCATCCTCATGTCCTACCTCCGCATCATGCTCTCCGTCCTGAAGATGAGCGCGGGCAAAGGGAGACGCAAAGCGGCTTCTACTTGCGCCTCTCACCTAGCGGTGGTGATGCTCTTCTTTGGGCAATGCGCCCTGATCTATACCCAGCCCCAGCGGAGCAAAGCGCTGGTGACCTCTGTGCACATCTTCGGCAATGTGGTCACGCCCATGCTGAACCCGGCCATCTACACGCTAAGGAACAAGGAAGTGAAAGCGGCACTGAGAAAACTGAAGGGAAGTCAAACACCTGCGCATTGACGTGCAGTAGCTGCAAGGGTAGTAAGTAGGACTTCATGGAAATCCATCGTCAAATACATTTGTATGGCTGCTCTATGGCTTTGGGGAACTTTGCCCTCTCCCCACACAGCCCCATCTGTCCATCTGGAGCTCCATGCATTGTAATGATGCTTCCCCAAATCCCTCGAACTCTGTGGCATGCAGTCGGGGACACCGTTTTTAACACTTCCCAATGGGATCAGAATTCCAAGGAACTGGAGAGCTGGATTTTGTCAATTTTTGTCAATCTCTGCCATGTTACACAGCTCTGTAGAAGTAAGCGCAGCATCTTCTTGTCAGCTGACAGTCAGGGCAGTGTGTGTGTGTTTCCTAGAAAAGGTTTAACGTTCGTGTTTTTACTGCTAGGACCGGGCCTTAAAGGTGCCCCAACAGATCTGTCACCTGGGAGTGACACAGATATAAATGCTCAAGCTCTTCCTATGTCTGTCCTTTTATGACCGGCTGAAGTTCTTTGAAATTGTGCTTGGTTTTGTTACAGCAACTGAGGGATCGCTAGATGTACACCTCCTAGGCAAGCCCTATGAAAAACTAGGTGACTTCAAATAGAGGACTCCTCTGACTTGGTACACTCAAAGGACCCCAAGAATCATAAACAGTCAGTGCGCTGTCTTTTGTTCAGTTTGCAGTGCTCACATTATTGTGCAAGAGACTGCCTTTAAAGAATATATGCTAGGGACAGGAGACAGAACTGTATACTTAAACAAAGGACCACATTCAGATGCAATTTTTACCCCTTTCTGTGCCTCTCGACTCCAGCGTGTCAGGCCAGGGCCGG